GTGCTTTATTTTTGCATTATAAATTCATTGGTGAACAGTGCTCCTTGTTAATTGACGGAATAAATTTTGACCAGAGCTGTACAACATTTTTATTTAAACTTCTAACAAGCTATCCAATTAAGCTGAAATTCAATAACAAATATATTCCACTTCACTCTCTGTGTGTGCTTGTCACTTCAGAAATATGCTGAAAAAATATTTTGTATATTGAATCAATTGCTGATTGAGAGATTGCAGACATTGCATCATTATTCTATAAATTCCTGTTCAGTTCTTTTTATATGCTATATCTGCACAGACACAAAGCTTGTATTTAGACTAAAAACAAAGTCATGTATAACATTATTTTTGCTAAGCGTGCTTAACATAAATTTTTCATATATTTTTTCAGCTTTAGCAATCAATAAATTTATATTTGTTGTCATATTTTTCATTAATTTTCAATGCTGTCAATAAGTGCTATAAGCTGTATTGGTTGTGTAACATTTTTAAAATGTAAATAACAAATTCAACGAATTCACAAGGACCTTGAGAGAGCAATTTAAATTAAATTCCAATTAGATGGAACAAACCAATCAAATCGACTGTCTAAATGTTTTCTTGGAATGATAATTTTACACGTCATCCTGGGAAGGTTGAATGTATTTCCCTGGAAATATAATGTCATGTATTTGAAGAGGCGTTAACTCGAAACCTGCTAAATATTCGCATCGTGCTCGACTGTCACATTGAAATATCTTAACCAAGCATCCTGCATCCTGAGCCCTGTGTCCCTTGCCCTCATTTTTCCCATAGAAAATTTATGTAGCGAAACTTTTTTCCTCTCTCAACCTTTTTACCACCTCTAGCCCCCCCTTGGCGGCACTTGGAATTTAGGCCAAAACACTTTTGAAGCTGCCAACATGGCGCAGATGTGGGTTGGAAGTTTACAAATTTTTCAAGCGCTGCAGGATCATGTAAAGTTGAACGAAATGTGACATAAATGATTTTCGTTACTTATTTTATTGGTGAGGGAGAGAGGAGGGGGATCACAGAACTTTATAAACTATTTACAAAAGTTTGTGTCTTTGGATAATTTATTTTGTTGCACGAAAGGGATTCGAAATGAGTTGTGAGTTTATTTTCAAGGGAACTAAAGTGTTGAGTAAATTAAATATTGAATTTAAATATATTTATATTATAGTGTGAATAATTTAAATTTAATTTAAATTGATATATTACAATATGCCTCAAAATTTCACCGTAGTATGCTATCTCCCCCACATGACATTCTTCTCGTAATTAATGTAAAATGTTCATAATTTATATTAAAATTAAATTGGAACAAAGCGTATGCATAAATGATTCACTACACAGTCACAAGCATTTGCTGTAAACCTAATTTAAATCATTTCCATTACGGCATAGTTGCTTCCAGTGCCTTTGAGTTGCTTTTCCGGCTTTCCTCCTGCTCACTGAAACCAGCCCAGACTTGCATATAAAACATGAAATTAATGCTTAATTAAGCAAGTTTCTACCTCCACACATTACACACTCCATGTGCTGTGTGTGTGTGTCTACGAGTGTCTTAACTCGATTATTCCATCAAAGAAGAGGAGAGAGTGCCAAGAAGTTTTCCATGGCATTAACTTAAATTTTGATTTTCATAATTCATAGAGCGAAGCTCAGCTTTAAATCCTGCGGCAGGATTCCCATCTTTTGCCTTTGTTTTATACCAGTCAGCTGAATTTTATGACCCGAGGTAGAGTAAAGTTTTTATATGTGAGATGCCGGGACCAGGTTTGGCAAGGCAAACACAAGTTTTTATCGCAATAAAAGTTGACAATTGCAAAGAGAAGGGGGGAAATAGAGACATAACTAGCATATCTTAAAGTTTTCCTAGGAAAAACTACACCTGTGGCATAATATGTCAGGGTATAAACAACTTGGGAGTACAGAGAAAATCTATAGAAAATATTTCAAATTTTACAAAAGAATCAAAATCAAAACAATTTAAAAATGCATAAACTAAATTCATTCGTTTTTTACTTATTCATATTCGCTCTGTATGTTTATTGTGGTTTTCCTTACTCCAATTTTGTTGCCATGTTTTCTTTTTCTGGTTGCATGTAACTTTTCATTTTTCATGCAGTGCATAAATTTTATGCTTTTTCCCTTTTACCACATTTTTGTTTTGGTTTTTTTTTCTTCTTCTCTTTGCATGAGTGGCGGAATGTCAAAGCCTTGTGTTTCTACCCTTTGCCCCTTCTTTCCTAAGGGAGTTATTCCAATGCAAAAAGGGTTGCATACATTTTTGGGCCAAACAATGCGCGCTTGGAAATTTGTAAAACAAACACACGCTGGCCTTGTCTCCTTATAATACTATATATATGTATCTCCCTCTCTCTTTCTGGCAGTTGATCCATGTCAAATCGTGCGTAGTTATCCACAGGGGGGCTATGGAACTCATTTTGGTTTCTTGGGCTCGTTTTTGAGTTTTTGGGTTTGAGTTGCTGCGAAGCATTCTAATTGTTACGAGCGTTTTCCTGTTGGACTCGGCACGAGTCCTTAAACAAACAACCATTTCACCAAACCCAACCCTTAGCATAAGTTTATCCCAATATGCAGGCACTCGCTCTCTCTCGGTCTCTCGGTCTCTCAGCAAATATATCTCAAAAATTCTCCAATTCTCACAGCTTTTTAGAGCGCATGCTCAACAAAGTGTTCGAGTTTCAGTTGTTTCTGTTCGTCTCACATGTTCCAGGAAGAGCTCTCTCTCTCCCTCTCTTTTCCTCAAAATTCCCCTCTCTTTTCCTCTTTATACCCTTCTCCCTCTCCTCCTGAATTTCCTCTTGTGTATTGGCGTAGCATTTTAAATGAATGAAAAATATTGTCGTAAATTTCTTGTTCACTTGTGCTGCTGCTCAGTCCCTTTTCCTTTTGCGTTGGTGCAACGCTTTGTTAAGTGTTTTACATAGTTGAGTTTTCCGAGTTTTCCCCCGCCCTACCATTTACCTATTATCTGGCCCATGTGTGCATCCTTGAATATTCCTGAACCGCCTCTGCCTCGCCCCTCGATGCCTATAAATTAACTCAAGGATGTCAGGAACCTTTGGAGAGCGTCGAGATTATAGTGCACGAAATCTCATATTCCTTCAGCTCAAGTACCTTAAGCATATCCTGTTAATGATAATCTTTTTAAAATGTCATCAAATGGTTATTTAGATTTTTTTAGAGTATCGTTTTTAAGATACAAACGAATTAATAAATATATTTTTAGAAGCAACTTTGATACAGAGGGAATATCCGTTTTTTTTCAAATACATGTCACCGTCAAGCCTTTGCTCTTAACGTTATACATTTTTAATCAGTTTTCAAAAGCATGCTGCTAGTGTCAGGACAATCAAAGGATTGCCTGGAAAAGCAAACAATGTAAATGAAAATCAGTCAGACAAAAAAAAAAGATCTGAAGCGGTACCGAATGAGAGACAGTTTGCAGTTGCAACATTTATGGAAAGAGTTAATTGACTGACAGATGAACAGTCGAAAGGGGGTCGACAGAGAGTCGAGGTGGGGTCAAAAGGGGGTGAAAAGTAATGGAAAGGGGGGTCCAAAATGGGTGCAAGGGTGTCAAATGGACGGAGGTCACCAGTTTCTACCGCAACAATTAGCGCCAACAATGCGGAAAACTGCAGAGAAGGGTTTCATCTTTCCCTATCCACTCGTCGTGAATTTAAATGAAACAAGTGTGGGAGCGTATGAAATGGGATTGTGAATATTTTTCAACATTTCATGAACTTGTCCTGAATGCACACATTCAGTTTGGACATTCGGGTTGAATGGGAGAGAGAGAGCTGTCAGTTGGTTCAACTTTTGGATCGACTCATGTCAAAAGCAAAAAAGGTGAAGGGGAAATGCGGTTCTTGGGGTTTTTCAGGATTCAGAATTCTACTTCAGTGGCCCCTAACTCGGTTTACTGCTACGCAGTTTATGCCTCAATGGTTTGTTTTTACTTCAATATTTGTTTATTGAGCCACGCTTCAAATGACAGTTAAAATACAGTGGCTGACAATAAATACAAAGGACAAGACACAGCAAAGAAAAGTATTTAATTTGGTAAACCTTAAAAATTAATACCAAATGTCCTATAAATTCTTTAAGTTCACAAAAACTTAAATTCAAAACTATAACACTCTAAAAATACCTTTAGTAATAATAAATAATTCTTGAAATACTTATCAAACAAGTTCTCTATCTACAATATTTTTCTCTGTGCACATTTTCCTCTCCTTTACATCGACTGTAATTGCTTGCCCTGTCAACCAAATATTTGAAAAGCAATTTTCCATTTTATCGCAACAAAAGATGCTGCAAGGCAAAAACAAAACAGTGAAGCAAAATTCTGGTCAGTGAAAAAGTAAAAGAGTCCAAGCCTGCCTTGTTCCTGTGATTTACATTTAATTGTGAAAATTTACTTCACCAAAATTGATGTGAATATAAAATTGCTTTTAGCATTTTTGAGTTCTTTTCTGCACTGTCAGCAAATCAAAAAACGAATAGAATTTAACATAAATTGAGTAAATTTATATCTTTAGCAACTACTCTTTCACACATCAACTGATTGTTGAGGAAAACTCACTGACATTATGGTCTTTATTTCACTGATTGACCCTCCAGCGTATACAATTAGTCTGGGTTTGGTCATATCCTCTGCCTTGATTTTCATAATTTTCCTCCCCGAATTTCCATTATGCGGTTATTGCCTGGGCCTCATTATGCAGACGCATTTATTTTTCGGATACACATAATTATGCATAAACAGCTGAACAAATTTGTGTGCTAATGTGGAAGATTAAATAGCTCTTGTGGTGGGTTCAATAAATCTCTGAATAAATACGGTGAACGCTCGCTAATTGCTTTTTCAAACTGAATATAAAGAGCGAAAAAATGTATCCCAAATGGCAAAATTTTATAAAATTTAATGAATATAAATATAATAATATATAAATTTATCCACTTACCATTATGTCCCATATTGGTGATGATGACCCAAAAATCGATGGTCTTCTCCGGGCCCAGCTCCTCGTAGTCCCACTTCTTCTTAACTCGCACAGCGCCATTTGTTTCCACCGTCACCCAGGGATTATCGTCCCTGATCTTGAACGTTTCCTTATCCGTTTCCTTTTCCAATTGAAAGACCGACTTGCCTTCGGTATCTCCATCAGCCTCTGTGAATTCTATCCTTTTCGTTGGACGTACAGCTCGCGTTACTCTCCTCTTTTCGCGGTGATGTGAGTGATTATTTATCTCATCATGCTCCAGATGTTGCATTATGAATGAAACTGGTTCGGGTGCCAAAAATTCCAAAAGAACCTTGGCTGGCTGGGCACTCAACAGACTGGGATACCTCAAGTCGTGGGCTATCACCTCAACCAGAAGCTCATTTGAAGTGGGCTCACCTGCCAGCATTATCTCACCGGTTTGCGGCACAATGATGACCACATTACTAGGAGTCTTGAGTCTATAGGCAATCTTATCCCCATCGGCATCGGTGGCCTCGACTTTGCCAAGGATGGCAAATCTCTTGTATGACACGCTGTTATTGCTATCCATATTGACAGCCTTTTGACCGGCAATGGCGAACTTGTAGTCCAGCGACTTGAAAATGGGTCTGTTATCATTCTCATCCAGAACAGTGATTTGAATTTTCGAGACTGTTTTATCCAGCCCATCCACATCCGAGGCCTCCACGGAGAGATCGTAGTGGGCACGTTCCTCGCGATCCAAAGGACGATTTGTGACCAACCAAACACCAGACTCATCGTCACCATCAATCACCAGGGACTTGGCATTAATCTGAACATTCTGATTGGCTTTGCGTTCCTGCAGGGCAAAGGCATCCTCCACATTGCCATCGATGATGGTGTACCGGACCTTCTTGGGCTTGGCCAACTCCTCGTCGAGAATGGAACCACTGAAGGCCTGCATCAGGGGCACTCCTCTCACCCTGGTTCCCGGCGGATGATTCTCCCTCACCTCACCGCTGGCATCGAGCAGGGAACCCGAGAACCGGAGCATGTCGTTGCGATGCATCACAAACAGCTGGAGATTGTGGGTATTGGTGGCATTTGGCGATTGTTCAACAACCACCAACTGAACCGGACGATTGACCAGCGGCGATATATCCGCCGTGGTCATAACCACACCATCGTCCAGGACGGTGAAGTACTTGGAATAGTCACTATCTAGCATGTGATAGGCACTGCCTCCACTGGCAGGATGTGAGCTGCCGTTCACCTTCACTGGATGGGTTTTGAACTTTTTAATGCTAAATCCGGGATAGGTATCGTGCGGGAGGACTAAGGACATTTCACTGTGATGCGGCGATGGCTTCTCCACCTCGCCAGGACTTCCGGCCAGCATTCGGGCCGCATTTTCCGCCGACAGGCCGGCGAATGTGGTCTGCTCTTCGGCCGCTATTAATTGAAGTGATATCAGAATTATCGCGCAGGTGTAGAGTTTAATTCTATTGGTTATATAACGTTGCCTGAGCTGGTCCAGGCAACGTCGTGCCGCCATTTTGCTGGGGCACTTTTCGATCCCTTTGACTCGCAACACTTTTCTCTGATTTCTTTTTCCTCGCTCCAAGGGGAAACCTTTTCAATTGTCGGTTTTACACTTTAGACCTGAGTTATTCATGGGTGAAATTCCTTTATCCAGACTTTTGCTTTTTTTCCTCTCTCTTGATCAATACATTTTCGTGCCGTAAACTGAAAATAAAGTGGAGAAAAATTGAAATTGATTTGTGGTTAGTCGTAGGTCTCGCTTCAGGTAAATATTTACGGGCATTGTGCAAAGTTTATGGGTCAATGAAAGTGAATAATTCATTGGTCTGGTAAATAAATAACACTTGGCCAAAGGTTAATCAAGTATGCAGGAAAGTCGAGTTGAGTCTAAGGAGAGTTCATGGGGAGTAATGACTGCACAGGATAATAAATTATTTAAATCTTGGCTTATTGAACTGATAATATCTGACTAGATATGTGACTGTGAATAATTACACATTTGAGTAAGCCTCTTAATTATTTATTAAGCCCTTGAAGGTTATTACTAAAAAACTCCCAAATTTGCATTTACTAAAGTGTAAATCATTGTTCACTTAACTGAAACTTCTATTTAAATTACCTTCCTTCTGAAACACAAAACTGTTAGTTTGTAAAAACAATTTTTAGACTGCATCATCATCATCATCACTCTCCCAGCTGAGCTTTAGAATTTGTAAACTTTTGAGTTTTTAATTGCCGTGTGGCAGGCGGCAGCCAGCTGAAGCTCAAAGAACATTGAGAATGTTGCACAAAGCAAAAACTTTTTAATGATATTAGCAAAAATATTTATAATTCGAAATATTTCCAGAGTGAGAGCCAGAGGCAGAGAGAGGGGGAGGGAAACTGCAAGGGCCACAATGTCACAGCCTGTTTGAGTCAAGGACTTTGCACAGGATGTGGGATTTTCGGTTGCTCTTTGATATTCCCTTGACACGCTCTACATAACGCCTCGGCAAATGCATTGTCCCAGGTTCCACGTAATTCCAAAAGTTCCCTCACAATTCCACCCCCGAAAGGTGTATGTGTGTGCCACACATGGCTGGCCTTGAAAACACACAGAAATTTCATTGAGAAAATTATTTTAATTACTCCATGTGCAACACGCCACAGCCCAGGCTCTTTACCCTCTAATCCGACAACGGCACGCACCCTGTAATTTTGCTACCTAAAGTTGGGTAAGCCAAGGGGAAAAGGTCTTCTCTCTTCTCTCCCTGCTTTTCCCGAGTTTTTCATAACAGCTGCACAGGCGCCGCCGACTTTTTGGCTATTGACCATTTCGGAAAAAAATATATCCCAAAATGTGTTGACAATGGTTTTTATTTGCTTTTTACGCGTTTGCTCTCAACGAGGAGGATTTCTGGTCCAACAATTGTCGGTGTGGATAGGGGGAAAATATTGTTTGCTAATGATCTTATAACTATATAGCCTGCACTTATTATTGGGTGTGACTGGTATGCGTTGACAAATGATTCCGAGGTGATTACCTGATGCATACATAGGCATAAAATAGAAATGCAACTAAAGAATATATTGGAATTACACGTGTGTAACGAGTATTATTAATGATGCGAAACATCAGGAAGTATTCTTTAAAAATTAAGTAGGCATGATCAATTATTTTGTACTATTGGAAAGTAAAAATAATAATCTGGAAGCGTAATATACATTGGGTTCTTTAGTTGAACTTAAATAGAAGCAAATAAATTTCATAATAAAATGAACCTTTTTAATATTTGTATCAAATAGAACAGCATATTATTTAAGTCCTCCCAAATTTGTACCCCAAAAATCAATACCCATTTAAAATTGTTCAACGACGTCTCTCCTAATTTGAAAATGCCCGCAAAGCATATGTTTATTTCTCACCTCTTTGGGTTATCTTTTCAGCGACATCTTAATTGCAATTAGCTATGAAAATGTCCCCGGCAGCGGAGACACGATAATAAAAACCGAAAAACCTTAGCCATATCTGTGCGATCTGCTAATCAGTTGACGGAGTTGACTACCAAACAAATTATCGAAATGTCGGCCAATTTGCATAACTCGCTTTTGACGCTAATAAACCCATAGTTTCGGGGTAACAAGCTCGGGATGTAAGCCTTATAAATCATTTACAATTTGTTTGGCAAACGATTTTTTATAGATTTTTGTTTCTCCTCTGATCATTTCAGCTTCCAACAAAATCATTCCTTTGTCTTCCCTAATTTGATTGGCGGCATCTTTCGGGTTGCTTCTGCGTGTTAAAATTCATTTGAAATGGCCCACTCTGTGATTAATCAAGACACAGTTTGGTTTTTTGTTTCTCCGTTTTGCCGGATAAAAACTACAAAAAACTTTGTTTCTTTCTTCGTTATTTTGTTGTATTTTTCATAGTGTCACTTAATTAAAAGCGAAGATAAAACGCGATACAATATGTTGGAATAAAAGGGCTCCTCCAATGCATAGCTCTACATTTCGGCATAAATGAATATGTGATGCTGAAATTCCGTGTGTTTTATATTTATTTATTCAGGCATTCGATTGATTGATGCGTCATGGCAGCCAAAGGGCACGCAATAGAATGACGCCAAATGATATGCATAAATATTTGGAAGCTGCTCTAGGGATATTTTTTTATGGAACTTGATGGAAATGTATCTTTGATTTTGACATAAAGATCAGTTAGTGAAATCAATCTGGCCTACTTTCCACATAGGCAGAATGCATTCGAAAGACTTTGATTGCAAAGGAATAATTTAAAGTCCCCAAAAGATAAAAAATAAAAATAATAAAGCTAAGGCAACGCCCCCGCAGAGCATCACCTTGGGCTTTCCCCACATTAAAGTCATTTAAAATCGATTAAAAATCAACGCCAAGAGACCACCTGCAGAGTGTTAGCCCAAAAGAACTCGAGTGTGAATACATTTTCGAATGGACAAAGAAATATATTCGAACTCAAGGCGTTGCCGACTTATTGTTTATTAGATTTTTAACTGCTGGCAACAGTTTTTAACAAGTTTCAGTAGCGAAGCTCATAAAAGACCGAACCCAAGTAACTGCATACATTAGGGTCTGTCTGTGGCTTGCCCAAAAATTTCCCTGGATTGAATGTCAACTGAATGTTGACTAATGAAGCTTTAATTGCCATCGATATATTTGCCTCTCCATTCCAACTCGCTTTTGTTGACTGTTTGCCAATGGGGCGCTTTATTGATTTCTCCTTCGTGGTATATTACCCAATGGCATGCAATTAAAATTCACATTTTCATATTTTATTTACTCTCGCTTCACCCGCACAAACAAAAAGTTGTCGTCATATTTGAACTGACGATTTCTTTGACGCTTTCCACTTCACTTTTATTGCCATCCGATTTATGGAAATTTATGTACTTATTGTTGCCTGTTCTTTTGTTTTTTTTTTCTGGCATTTTACGTTAGTGGCAATCAGGGGAATATTGGATTTTACGAATTGAGTCGTTTAAATAAAGGTTATTAAATTGATTTTAATGGTCACTGATGAATTTTGATGGCTAACAATCTTAGGAATTTGAAAATTGGCAAACCTGAGTGCATATAATATTTCCTAAGAGCATAATTACATTAAAATTTGTTTTCCCAGAAAATATTTACTTAAAGCATAAAATTAATTAATAATAATTTAAAAATTCATTTTTAAACTCTCTTTATAGTTGAGGGTTGTTTCTTTCGAACTCTCCCCTTTTGTACATCCCTTATATTTTGAATAACAATGATAAACATTTACAACTCATTTAGTAGCTAAACACCAACTTTGTAAAAGGCCAAAAAACTTGTTTCCATTACACCCTTCCAGGGTATTATAACTACAGTTAGAAGTCTGCAAGTAAGTATCTACGACCACTAAATACCTGTGATCAGTAATTCAATGCCATCAGCGAATAACTCTGAACAGAAAGTATCTATGACTAGTAAGTAAGTATGATCAGTAAGTATCTACAACTGATTAGTCACTCACTTTGAACACTAATAAACAATGACTTGCAACTTTGGTAACACAACACATATCTGAGACGTGGTTGGCAGAAGTCACTTCGTTCCGGGGATGTTTGAACCAGTTGGGAATCATATGCACTGATGTCCGAGATTTGTTTTGCAACAAATTTAAGCTATTTCAATGAAACTATGGAGTTATTCTTCAATATAATTTTACTAGTACATTAGTCGAAGCATAGCGAATCGGTGGACTATATATGTATGTATATATATAGCTGCCATAGGAACAATCGGAAGATTTATAGAACTTAATCAGTAATTATCTATGACCAGTAAGTTTCAATGAACATTAAGTATCTCCGAACAGTAAGTATCTATGACCAGTAAGTAACTATGATCAGTAAGTATCTATAACCAGTAAGTATGTATGATTAGTCACTCACTTTGAACACTAATAAACAATGACTTGCAACTTTGGTAACACAACACATATCTGAGACGTGGTTGGCAGAAGTCACTTCGTTCCGGGGATGTTTGAACCAGTTGGGAATCATATGCACTGATGTGCGAGATTTGTTTTGGAACAAATTGAAGCTATTTCAATGAAACTATGAAGTTATTCTTGTATATAATTTTACTAGTATATAAGTCGGAGCATAGCGAATCGGTGGACTATATATATATACATCTATATTAGTACTATAGGAATAATCGGAAGATTTATAAAATTTGGATAAGTAATTAAGTATGACCAGTAAGTATCAATGAACATTAAGTAACTATGATAAGGAATTAACTATGATCAGTGAGTATCAGTGAACATTAATTAACTATAATCAGTAAGTTTCTATGAACAGTAAGTAACTACGATAAGTAAGAATGTATGATCACTTACTAAATTTGAACACTAATAAACAATGACTTGCAACTTTTGTAACACAACACATATCTGAGACGTGGTTGGCAGAAGTCACTTCGTTCCGGGGATGTTTAAACCAGTTGGGAATTATATGCACTGATGTG